GTGCCTGCTGCAGGGGCCTGACACTCCCGTCCAGTATATGCCATCCCAAAGCCGTGAAGCGGGCAACGTGGCGTTGTCGAGGTCAGCACGATGTTGGTCTTTGACAGCACATCATGACCTCAGAACGAATCCAGGGGCAGAAGTCGCATCAGCCTCAGCAACCTGACACTGAGGGCTTGATAGCAGATGCGACAGCACACCCGTTCGTCGTTGCCGTGCAGCTCTACCCCGGAAAAAACTTTTTTTTTCTTCTTGATTCTCCTTGCATCGCTAGAGGGCGGAGCACGAATGAGACAAGCAAACGCTCAGTACGCCTGAAGGGGCGTGTGTCGGTCGGAAACTTCGCTTGAGCAGGGCGCTGACACGACGTCGATCTATCAAACCACACTAACGGCTTTGGGTATCGCTCCCATTCCAGGCACTGGCCAATCCCGTGTCGGGCTTTAGGTGCGTCCCGCGATAGCTTCCCCTCAAGGTTCTTTATCTTAGCCCTTGACGGAGCGCATCCAGATCTTGCTGGTGTGCGTTCCGTTCCCAAGCCCATTGCAGCTGCAGCTTGTCACCAGCCTCGACTCGCTTCTGCCGAAATCAAGTTTCCAAGTTTCGACGCCGAGATCTGGAGCGCGAGCGATACAGACAGCTACTGGTCGATATAACGAATGGGTTATAGACTAGAAGCCGAGCGTTCCTGACTATCGCAATACCTGGCACCGAGGGCCTGCCATGCAGCAAACCGGGCCACATAGCGCAAACTGCGCCGACAGTGTCCCCTGCACGAACGGTTGCTTGGTCGCCAGCGTGCCAGGTCATTCATTGCTGATAATCTCCGATGCTTCATCGCGGAGCCGTTTTGTCGACCGCCAATAGCGCTTGAGAGCCTTCACCGGACCTTCTTGAAACACAGCAAATCTGGTCGACTCTGGTTGAGCAACGAGTCCAACGCCGCCATGCACATTCGCTACAGTGATATGAGAGCCGTCGACTGGGGCTTGCAGTTTGCTACGCTACCTCCATGCGACTAATCATAGTGTACTGGTAATGCATCATCTGGACTCATCACTGCCACCAAAGCGACATGTCTAGGCAGCTAGCGGCACACGTCGAAAACTCTCCGAAGCATATTTTGCGTTTCACAGGAGTTCTTACCGTCGCCGATGCTCGCAATGTCACCTAGAAGCCACGGGGTAGCGCTGAAGTACCGTTCTGTCAAGAAACGCTTCAGTGATGGCTTTGAAATAATGCAGTACACAAATAGCATGTTCTGAGGTTCTCCTACTCAATCCCTCACAAGGAGCATCCACGCTGGAAATAGGGCCCGCTCCTGATTCCGCGGCCATCATGATCTTCGCGCCCGTCTCGCAACCGAAATGAGACTTGCAGTCTATGCCAAGACCAGAAAGGCTTCCCAGTCTGCATCCACTTTGTCCCTCATATCGCTATTATCGTTATATCCGAGATCAAGGGAACATCCTGCTCTGTTAAGGGTTGCGACGAGAATACCAGCAAGGCTAGATGTCTAGACCTTCTCATTCGGCATCCCTTGGGTCAAGGGTACCTAGCAGAGATCCGACTTTGCGAACGCGCCTTTGCCGCCAGGCCGAGCAACACGGCTGGTACCTGTAGCTGGAACATAGCGCCAGGGCGACTTCGTTCTACCGGCTAAACTGCGCAACTTGCACGTGTACTATCACCGTCGACCAAGCGTGGGACGCCCAAGCCACGAACCGATAGTGGTAGTGCCCCAGATCGAGCGCACATAGCGGCGGCAACTCTCGTCGGCAGCCAGTGCGAGGAATACGGCAAGAGTTATGGAGATACCCATGAAGGCTGCATCGTCGTGTGTGATGCGTAGTGCGTCGCAGATATTGGATTGCTTTTTCTGATATCTCCTGATCTACTAGATTGTGGAGAGAAAATGCTTGTGGCTGTCTTGTTGTCATTGGTGCGACCAAAGTAGAAGGTGTCAAGACCGCAGCTCGCATCGAACATCTCTTGCTGCCACCAATGAGGGCTCGGATGCGGCATGTCCTCAGCTAAGCTCAGCCGCAACTTCAACACCAGCATCGTGAGCTCCTGAATTTCGTGAGAAGGCGACGGCGCACACCCTACGCTGTTCTGGGTCTCGGCACCGAAGTCCAGCCGTCATGACCTCACCCAAGAACCGAGTCATTGAGATGAAGATGAACGCTTTGCCTCTCGAACAAGAAGAAGGCCCGGCACCACTTCAGGCTCATCACACACCGCACTCTCCATTCGAGCAAGATTTTCAAGATCAGAATTCTCCTAGACTACGCATCGGCTCTGGGGGCATCCGAAGTACCACTTCTTATCCTCAAGGTTCTTGACTATACTTGTGGCTCTTCTACCGGGCTTCCCAGGATTGTGTAGTGGGAGCGTGGGGCATCGTGTGGGTACCAGCCAACACCGACACCATATAACGGACTTATTATTGCCCATGGAATTTCTCGACCACCGACGAATACGCTACACGGCGAAAAGTTTCCCATGCCCTGCTTGCCAAATTCATGATCCGGATTTGTCGGCATTCAATGTATTAGCAGCGGGTGATGTCGGAAGCTACGACTTCGCATCATGGTCAGCTGGACTGCCCATGTGTCGTTCGCATGTCGTGAACGGTGACGCTTGCGCAGGTGTTCCTTCAGTCGGCTTGACGCTACCGCTCACTGCAAGCCAGCTTTGAAATCAAACATGAGTCGCTGGGACTCCGTTCCGGATGACAGGCTTTTGTGCGTCGGATGACAGCTGCATCCACATGCGCCCTTCTTACCCGACCACTACGACTCGTACCGTCTGCACGCGATTTATGTGTGACAGGTACATATTGAATGTCAATGTTAGACATCCCGCGTCGCTTGCGAAACATGTGTTCGTGGGGGCGGCTGTGCACACATCCGTAGATTGATTACTATAGTAAGCGCTCAATGATGCTTATAATAATCAGAGATAGATTGATACTCACTTCGCTTGCTGCAAGTGCAAGGAAGAGGCAAAGTCGCGGACTGCTGATCGAGTGTTGAGGAGCTGCATGCAAGGCTTCCTGGCTGTTGGTGTTGGATGCGACACTGAGATCTGAACAAGATCGCATTCAATACGCAGAGATGCTAAATGCGTGTTGGAGCATGCATCTCGGTCCATTGGCTGCGAGGTCTTAGTACGGCCACCACGAAGCGATCAGCAAGACAATCGCGACTTCATGGGAATTACCGGGCACCTGACTGGTCTTGCGAAACTCTCTTATCATGGTGAGTAGATTTACTTTTGCTGTTGCAGAACGGTCATGAACAGCCGCGTATTCCCAGAGTTGCACTCTGCCGCCTTCATCAGGGTACTGAATCGTCCGGGAAATTCAGCCGCCGCCAATGACATTCTACTCCCTCACTGCGGACCTTCACATGTCTTTCCAGATCCTCTCGATGCCTCCTCGTCCAACTTTGCGCACAATGTCATCAAGAACAAGCCACTGAATCACCACCCCCAACATGATCATCATCGTGACGATTTGTCAGGGAACAAGGGAACTCTACTCCAGAGTATGCTGGAGAGTGCGCGCTACGATATCGGGGCCGACATCGTACCAAACTCTGAGTGAACCTTGATCTCGTTGCGGGGACCGAACGAGTTTCACCTACTGCACACCAACGGTAGCGACACGGCTATATGCCCATCTCCATCTTACAGATGCATGTCTGCGCGGCTCGACGATGGTAAACCATCTCCCCACTGCGGATCTAAGCTCGTAATGCGCGCAACACAACCGTCTTTCACAATCTCCTGCAAGCATCCGCGTCCCGGAGTCGTGTCCGCGCTATTCACATACGACAAACCTTATAAGCGACCTCGCTCACCCTTCCAGCTTCCCACCAGCCTCGCTGTAGTTCCCGAACGACAGGAACGTTTTCCAAGTGCCACCGCCCCTTCTGTCATTCTCCAGACATGCACACGCATGCGAGATGGGGCTGGATTGCAGCTCGTGTAGACATGTGAGAGCAGGTTTGCCGAATGACAAACGCGCGACTTCGGTCTTCAAACCTCCGCTGTAGATCATGGAGATGCAAGAACGGGCTCGGTCCGTTGCCGGGCTAATCTTGCGCCACCTTATACGCCATTGCCCTGGACGGGAAAGAGATAACCCATCTCCTCGTTTGTTGTGGCTTGTTTCTACCAGCCGTGCTGCTCTTCACGGGGTAAGTGTAGATGATCGGCATTGAATGTTCCTGGTAGCTATATGTACTTCTACAGATCGCCAAATCCGGTTCGCGATGCAATGGCGTGAGAATGGGGTGATCGGGATCAGACAGTCTGGTAACGCAAGTGCGAAGAAGGGGTAAGCGGATGCCCAGGAGCCGTTGTAAACCTTGTCGGCGTGGCCGAACGTGGAGAAGCGGCATGTCGTGAGTCGGCATGTCGCAACTGAACTCGTCAGTGCGTCGCTTGCGCAATACGGTTGCGCGTGCAGAATAAGGGTTGGATATGCGTTGATCAGCGAAGTTCATCGAACCATGCTGAGAAGGGTTCGACAAGAGAGTGCGGGCGCGACGATACCGAATGCGAGTATTGGGTGATGTCGAACAGGAAGCTGCTGTCAAGTCGGACCTGCAAGCCTGGCTGAGAGCGAGAGAAGCGTCGGAGGACGACTTGATTGAGACGCTGGTGCATTTCTTGGTTCGCTGCCGTTATTTGTCAAGTATTTTTTTTGGACATCTAGAAGGCGAAGTGACATTCCTGCTAAGGGCCTAGGTACCGGAGTACGAGCCGTGTACCTGAAAAATTAATAGTCAGTAATGTGTAGATGCTCGTTCAAGACGCAGAACAGCGATCAGGAGAGACAATGCAATAGAGTAAACCGCATGAGTATCGACTGGAATTGCTATGGCCACAACCCCGAAGAGGTCTAACGTTACAGTAGATGGAAGGACCCTTCCCATTTTCGTGCCTTGAACGCCTTAAGAACTTGAGCCAACAGATAGTTCCCTTAGAACTCATACCAGGCTCAAGCGCACCTTCCTCTTTCCAGTGCTCTCTTCAAGCTCATCCGTGATCCTGACAGTCACCTTCTCAAACAGCTCGATAGTCCGCTTGACATCGCCCTTGATGCTCAGCACATAGTTCTCGGCATCAAAATCAGCTTCTGGCTCCGGTGTGGCGAGATCCCTCAATCTGATGAGACTTTCGATTCCAAATCTTGGTACAAAGACCACGAAACCATTGGAGAAGATCTTCATAACGAAACCTTCCTCGTTGATGTCCTTGCCCTTAAGTGCTTGGCCAACGTAGTACTCAATGGAAGCGCGACCGGCCATTTGTGCGTTGCGATGGCGCACGTTGATGTTCTTGCACACAGCCTCAAGCTTGGCTTTTGACTGTAGGCTGGGATCCAACTGCTCGTATTCAATGGCAGCAGCAAGCTGGCGATGTGCTTCGAGATCAGCGTAGCGGCGAATCGGGGATGTGAAGTGAGTGTAGATCTCGCTCGCAAGACCATAATGCCTGAACTCGGGGTACGCTTGTGTTCCGGCACAGAAGTACTCTGCGGACATCATGCAACGCGTCGCCATAATCCTGACAAGAGTGTTGAAGAACGGGTTGCTGGGATCAACACACTTATCAAGTGAGTCAGCCAAAGCTTTGGAACTGTCTGTCTTAAGCTCCATTCCCTTCTTGACCTTGAGTTGGTTGTCTAGCTCTTCGAAGTTGGTTTTTGGAGGGGCAGCGTGACGACGAAGCAGCGCTGTTTGCGGGAAGGCCTCGTAGTTCTTTGCAGCGACACTGATGTTGGCGAGCAACATGAACTCCTCCACAAGCGAGTTGGTATCAAGATGCTTCTTGGTTTGGACGTCTGCCGGGTCTGATGTCTCAGATTCAGTTCGGACCTTTACTTCTGGCGAAGACAGGTTCAAAGCTCCAGCATCCATTCGCTTTTGCTTCAACTTCTTGGAAAGCATGAGCAGAGTTCGCATACCCTTCGTGAGGTCGTCCTGCTGCGAGGCGTCGTCTATGCGGATTTGGGCTTGTTCGTAGCTGAAGGCTTCTCTCGACCGAATGACGGACTTGGTGAAGTAGGAAGAGACGATGTCAGCATCCTCTGTGACCTCCCAAATTACCGAGAAAGCGTAACGCTCTACATATGGCTTCAAGGAGCACAGGTCTGTCCCTAGAAGCATAGGCAACATGTCTATGCGCTTGTCGACTAGGTAAACGGTCGTTCCGCGCTGGCTGGCTTCCTTGTCCATGGCGTTGTTCGGCTTAACGAAATGAGACACGTCCGCAATATGGACACCGACTTGATAGTTGCCATTCGGCAGCTTGTGGGCATGGAGAGCATCGTCGATGTCAACACAACCAACCGGATCGATAGAGCATACCAAGAGGTCGCGGAGATCCTTGCGTCCCTTCCAGCCCGGATCCTCCAAGCTAGTTGGCACTTTCCAGTCGTGACCTTCTGCGGGTAAACAGTCAAGGACCGTCTTTGGGAAGGGCTTGTATTGAACATCCCACTCCAGTAGCAAAGCTTCGGTCTCTGCGCCCTTGGACTCAAGCTCGCCGAGCGATCGTACAAAATGGCCGACCGGATATCGAGAGTCTCTATCCCAGGAGTCGATTGTCGCCAGAACGCGTTGACCAAGGAGCTCTCCAGCTTGTCGTGTTCGTATCCGAATCTTGGGAATGCGCTTGTCCATTGGGACAAGGAATACGGTCTGTTGTTGTCTGCTCGATTTCGAAGAGGAGCGAACAGAATCGCGATCAATGTGGCCCACGTATTGTCTCCAATTCCGCTTGATGACACCCACTACGCGCGCAGTTGGCTGTGGCCTGCCCTCTATAGTCTGCCCATGTACACGCTTGACCTCCTCTTGTAGCGCTCGTCGCTCTCTCTCTGGGATGACGTTTTCGCCTTCCTCGGCCTCTGCGTTATCGTTCTTGTTCACCGTCTCCTCTTCAATGATCTTGGTTGAAGGCGCCTTCCACTGATCCTTAGGCAGTACTTCAACAACTACGACATCGCCAGAGACAGCCCGGTTGCTGTTCTCACGCCCTAGAATGAGGAGCGATTTGTCGAATGCGGGCACGTGAACCGAGCCTTCCAGATAGTTGTATGGGGAGACGTTGAAAATGCCTTGGTGTAAGGTTCCAGCTTTCACGCCAGTCATCATCTTCGAGACCGTGTAATGTTCGGAGTAGAAGATTTCTGGCTTTTTCGACCTGACTTCTCGCTGCTCTTGTGCTGCGCTGATCATATCTAGAAGCTCATCGGAGTTTTCGAGGCCAGAGACAAAGTCGGACAGAGTCTTGCCTGGGACTTTCTCGGCCTTGGCTTTCCGCAGGTTGTCTCTATCGTCGGTGATCATTACTACCGTAGGGATGCGCGTCTGTTTCTTGCTCCGCTTTTGAACAGCCTCCGTGATGTGTTGGTTGTACCACTGCACGGCTTTGCGCACAGCTCGGTCGTTTCGATCATTGATCGTTTCTCCAGCTTCCCGTGCTACATACGTCTCTTGCCTAAACTCGTTGAAAAATACGTAGAAACGCTTTCCTTCGTTCTTGGTCAAGGAGATCAGACGATGATACAGAGGCAGGGAGCGGTTCTTGACTTCCTCTAGCACGGTTTGCAGGACAATAACATCATGAAAAGCGGTTTCAACCTCGAACAAGTCCATTCCAGTAAGGAAAGCATTCGTATCTGGGATGAGATATTGGCCATTTGGGAAGTCCTTGGATCCTGCTGGTGTGTCTGATAGGACGAATGGTGCGACTGAAAAAGGTTAGTCTAACTCTGCATGTGGAGTTTCGCGGTCAAACCTTTCTTCGAGTAGTCGGTCGGCGCAATCTCTAGACATGCCCTGCAAAGATTGGACGAGCATGGAATGTCCTGTCGCAGATACAGTTCTCTCACAATTTTCTGGACCTTGCCACTTTTCGTAGACCGCACGTAGATCTTGCTGGACAGGTTGGATTGGCCATGATCGGCAGCGGTCGACCGCTTCAGACTGAAGTACTCCATGTTTGCGCAAGGTGTGTTGATTGTTGAACCCCGAAGGCGCGGAGTGATCGTGTTTGCGAAAGATTGGTGGATGCCAAGATATCAAAAGATCCTAGCTCCACTAGCTCCGCACCATGACGGAGCTCCCAGGTGGGCCTCACAGCAACCAACATCACCTGGGCAGAGCTCCAATACTACGACTCCAGGCACCGAAGCCGCACATCACCAATATATAACCGCCTACTTCGATATTCGCAATGTCTTCACTAGACCCGCCGACGTACCTCACCTCTATCCAGAACAACATCCGCGCCCGGCCTATATCATGGGAAGGAGCTGTACGAGCTAAGACCATCACCGACGAAGACCTCAAGAAGATCAAGTCAATCGATAAAGTGCGCAAGGAACAGAGGAAGCAGACTATCGAGTCAGATGTGGATAGCTTCGTGACACTGCTAGTGGGCGGAAATGGGTCGCAGAGCATCTTCGAGGCAGCTGCGAAGCGCCAAGACATTATCCACTACATGCTGGTCTTGCTGGGAGATATGATTGATGGTAGGACACGTGGAGTCTCTCTAGAAAGGCGATGAAGCTCATACACTTCCAGACATACCCGCCCTCACATCAGCCCTCGTCCAGCACCCAGCGCCCTACAAGCCTTTCCTACCACTCTTGAAGGCTTCATCCAACAACGAAGACCCCGTACCGCTCCTGACGTCTTCCGTCCTATCCGGCCTTCTGTCTAATGCTGTCACAACATCTGCCAAGAACACTCCCCAGCTCGATGAGGCCTTAGCGCAGCTCTTCACCTACCTCTCCACACTCGCAAAGGCATCCGACGCTGGTCTGCAGGATATCGCTGTACGGGAATACTCGGCCGTATTGCGCAGCACCAAGTCTAGGCGCATATTCTGGAAGCAAAGGAAGGAGACACTTAGCCCTCTGTTTGATATCCTGAGAGCTGCGGCCGGGTCTGCCAAAGACACGGACTCGACCCTGTACAGTGGTGGTGCCAGTATTCGCAGTACAACGGATGGTGGTATTGCTGGTGGTGTTGGCCTCCAGCTTCTATACCATGTATTACTCGTCATCTGGCAGCTCAGCTTTGAGGGCGAGCTCGTAGGCGAAGGACTTCAGGAGTACAGTCCCTTCCCTTTCTCACGTTTCGCAAACATTAACACCTTACAGGGAACACGACATCGTCATCCTCTACACGCAACTCCTCAAGGTCTCGCCTAAGGAGAAGACCACTCGTCTCCTCCTTTCCACCCTCGTAAACCTTTTGACCACGAACCGCAACACGCTACTTCCAACGGCCGTACTCGCGCGTCTACCTGCTCTCCTCTCGAGCTTGAAATCACGACATCTGACCGATGAGGATGCCCTTGAAGACCTACAGGCCCTGACCGATCTCCTCGAGGAGTACACCAAGACACAGACTACCTTTGACGAGTACGCTGCCGAGCTGCAGTCGGGCCACCTTCGCTGGTCACCACCGCATCGTAACGCCACGTTCTGGAAAGAGAATGCGCGTCGCATCTTAGAAGACAACAAGGGTGAACTACCCCGAAAGCTTGCGGAGATTCTATCTAAGAGCTGGGACAACGACAAGCAGGTATTGGCTATTGGCTGCAACGACGTAGCATGTTTGGTCAAGGAAGTGCCAGAGAAGCGACAACAGCTTGAGAAGTTGGGGCTGAAGGGCAGGGTTATGGAGCTGATGCAAGAGGCAGATGAGAGCGTACGGTGGGAGAGCTTGAGAGCTGTTGGTGAATGGATGCGATACAGCTTTGAATCGAAGACTGAGCTGCCACTCAGATAATCGGCGTTAGTGGGAAGGGGTGATTGTAAACACTATCAAGCGTGTGAGTGCTTTCCTGTTTGTAAATTCTCGTTATACGGGACCCATCGTAGAATGCTAGGCCCATCCAGTACATGTTCAGTCAATCCATGGTGGTCTTCGTGCTCCCTTGTCCCTTTCCTTGAAGATCGGAGCCCAAAGGCTCAATGCATGATACTGAGCCTTGAGCTCCAGAAACTGCATTCACTACAATCTTCAAGAGCATTCCATAATTGCTCAAGCCAGCTCATCGGTCTCTAATCTGGACTATACATCAGCACTTCATGACGTATAGGATGATCGAGTCCGGTATGGCGAACTACAACCCGAGCAAGATGGTTCGTCTAAGAACACAGAGCGCGCAAGTCTGCTATGACATGATGCGCTATGCTGATGAAGTGTGGCGGACAAGTTTGGTCGAACGAAGTCGGGAAGACACCACCGTCTTTTAACACGCCAAAAGATCGGTCGTCTTACTTTCGTCATCATTCTTGAAAAAAGGTCTGCATCTCGTATGACTGAAATTCACGATAGCAGAGGGAAGTTGCGTAGAGTCACGCATTGTGGGAGAGGAAGTTGGTTTGACAACACTGTTCAAGAAGCGTTGAAGTAGCTCTTGCGAAGAGGAAACAGCAGTGTTCAATGCGGGGAGGACACATACGGACAGTGAGGAACAGAGGGGAGTATTTGAGAGTATTGGGCTTTTGGAAGATAAAAAATTGATTTGACAGTCACAAAGGTTGGTGTGATGTGATATGGTAGGAAACCATGAGTCTCTGATTTCAGCGCAAGAGCTGTTCAAGTCTTCGACAACACGAAGGCGGCTTCTATGGATGACGAATGTTGCTTCAAGTTTGGGCTGTTCGTTCTGCTTTGCCTACCAGTACGTGTATCTCATCACTTCTAAGGATAGTGCATAGTTGGATATCATCACGATAGTAGTCGCCACATGTATATGTCTGTATCGTAGAATGCTGATCACTACGCACTCAGACCAAATACCGTTCTACTCAATCACACAGCACGCTCAGCCAAGTCTCAAACCCCAAAGACAAGGCAGCATCGGCTTCACCGCTGACCTTCCGTCAAGACTGACCCGTATTCCCTCATAATCGCAATTACAACCCTCCGATCTCCTCAACATCCAAACCTCGGATCTCGTACCCATAGCTACGGCAAGCACCGAAATCGCCAATTAATCTACCAGTATCTGAGACGGTCTGGACTTGCGGTTTCTCCCTTCATCCTACCATGACACTGGTGTTGGTACAGAGTATCTAGCGTCGCATTCCGCTCTCCCCGAACGGCATCCTGCGTGAACGATTCGTTAGCAAAGGATATTAGACAAGCAAACTTGCTTCTTCCCTCCCATTCCCAATCCCCTCAGTTCTACAATACAGGTACCGGTGCGAATAGAACAAACCTACCCGCTTCCGCCTCCATAGCCTTGAACAGATCATTCCAGTCTAGTACACACTTCCCCTTACGGCGTGACCGAAACCCGTCGTCCCAAATTAGGCGCGTCGAAACGTGCTAGAACGTTGCCTTTTTCTTCTACCAACTTTGATCGACCGGGTAATGCTTTGTTTGCTCGAAACATCCGCTACCGGAGAAAATCATGGACTGAAAGTGCTGCTTTTGTGCTATCAATTGTATTTTTGTGTGGCTTTCTTAGATCTTCGAATGAGCGCCTCTGAATAACACTTTGAGGCTTTGTTGAATGCTACCTTGCGCCTCTTTCCGAAGTCGTGTCGAGGAGATACTACCTTTGACCGTGTCAATGGTCAACGGTCAACGGTCAGAGGAGGACAATACCCGAGAACCTGGTTGACAGATTCTGGTTCCGAGTCGTCTCAATGAAACTATAGTGATCCGCGCATTACCTAGGTATGCAGGTACATAGTTTCCCCCTTCGCGGTTGTAGATCGTACTGCGAACCACAGAAGGGTTGAAACGTTTTTGTGGTACTGTACCTGACTTTGGTGCGCGGTAGCGATATGAGGGACCGTACCGTGAGGCTGGATGCAGGTACGAGACCCAGGTACCAAATCTGGTGCAACATTTGGCAGATGAGGCTATTTGGCAGAAGGTGTGTTCTAGGGCTGCTCCCGGGGGAAATGCTTCGACGGTTAATGAGCTTGCTTTTCTAGTCGTCACGTAAACTTTTGGATCTTCGAATCGATGGAATAGCAGTTTAGCCTTGGGTTCGTCTCGATTATCCGGCTCTTACGCAAGCAGAGAACATCTTTTTTGTTTCACTCTTCGGCGTCGAGGCTGGGGAACCATTGGCTTGGCAATTAGCTTTCTTTTCGCTCAGATCTCGGAGAGATGCGAAGATTCCAAGGTTGGTTCTGAATAGACGAAGAAAGTCGTCTTGTTTCAACTGTAAGTGTACCATAAACTGAAAGTACACGTTGTATCTCCCAGCACCACGTTTTCCTACATGACGTATTGTATATCTTTACGATGAGATATGATTAGTATGCATGACAGAAAGCGCGAGCTTCTTCGTAGCTATGACAGCTATGTGATCTGAGCGACAGCGGGTCAAAGAAGCCCTTGAACAAGCGGGAGCCTTGTCGAGCGGATCGCCAATATCCACGATGCTTGCTTCTTGCGCATATCATATTTCCGGTGGTACTCCAGGGAGAGCCGGTTTGGTCCGAGAGCCTTTGCAAAGCGGGTAAAAGCTTCATACGCCAGGTCGATGCTCAAGAAAAGAATGGAGATCTTCACACATACCACTGCCCACAAACGATGGCGTCGAGAGCGGCTGTCTCGGTTGCCGCGGTCCATCAGACATTGTGGTGTTGGAGGCGTTGGAAACCACCTGGCGCTAAGCTGGTACATTACCTAGCGTTGTATGAGTGATCTTGCCAGAAAAACAACAACAATAAGATTTGCATACGCAATAGTAGCGACAACAAACCCCGCTTGTCCATCTAGTCAGCCGCCACACGTCCAAGAGATGCAGAAGCCAAGACCTGCTCAATTGTCATCGCGAATACTACCTGAACAAACACCTCAATCCCTGAGATCTAGGGTCAATTGTATTTACCGATCGCGGATCTACCCCTGCACTTAGTTAAACTCCACAAGATCGCAGCTTTCCGCAGCGTGTAAATGGAGACGGCGTTGAATGCCGTTTGACCTTAAACCATGCTCTCATTCCTTTTCCAAT